AATATTTTGCTTTCTCTTTTTGTCTTTTTTACAAACATTGGAATTATTGAAACAAATACTTTAGTAATCCAAAAGTTCATTAATTCAAATACTTTTATTATGTGGCATGAACAATTATTTTATCTTGGGTCTTTCATGATGCAAAAAAATATATATATTAAAAATTCATATAGACATTTATTAAAGAGTCGGAAGATTCTTCAATTTAATGAATTTTGACATTCCGTATGTTCTCAAGGCAAATTGATTACTAAGCCATCACCAAGTAAAATTGAGATTGAATCTCTAGTATTTTTAAAATATATTCAATGTGATATATGTGAATTAATTCATCCTCCATGTGGACCATTGAGATATTTTATGATTTTAATAGATGCATCCATAAAATAATCACATGTGTATTTATTATCTACTCAAAACTTGATGATGTTGACCATTTAGATATTTTATAATTTTAATAGATGCATCCATAAAATAATCACATGTGTATTTATTATCTACTCAAAACCCGATGTTTTTGAGATTGTCGAGTCAAATAATTCAATTACGAGCATAATTTCTAAATTATGCCATTAAAAAAATTCACCTTGATAATGCTAATGAATTTATTGTCTAAGCATTAAATGATTATTGATTGGCTATTAAAATAAATGTTGAAAATCTTGTTGCTCATGTTCATACTAAAAAGATTTAGCAAAATCATTTATCAAAAGGCTCCAAATGATAGCTAAGCCATTATTTAAAAAAAAACTCCCTATTTATATTACGGGACATGCAATCTTACATGCATCAAACTTATTCTCATCAAACCCATAAGTTATTAGAAATTTTCTCCTCTTTAATTGGTTTATGGTCATGAGCTAAATATTTCATATTTAAGAATTTTTGGCATTACATTATATATCCGTAGTGCTCCTCTATAACGAACTAAAATGAGCATTTAAAAGAGATTGAGAGTGTAAGTTGGATTTGAATCCTCTTCGATTATTCAATATCTTGAACCATGAATAAAATATATTTTAAAGCTCAATTTATTGACTATCAATTTGATGAAACAATTTTTTCAACATTAGGGGAGAGAATAAGAAAAATAAGCAATTAGAATATATATATATATATTACATGGATTACTCTATTTTATATGATCTTGATCCTCCTATAAAATAATGTGAACTATAAGTTCAAAAGATAATTCATTTACAAGATATTGTAAATTTTTTAGATCTTAAATGAGTAACTAAAATTAATGTCCTTACCGAGAATGGTCATATTAGAATTGACGTTCTAAAAAGACAATCTATTAATGTTATAATAAAAATTTTAAAGCACGCTCGAAGCGTGAAAGACCGATCGGTTATAAAAACAAAAATCCTTAAAAAAAAAGGATAAATAATCAAGATAAAAATATAAAGGAGGCAAATATTTACAAAACGCTCCAAGATATTTATGATAATAGGCTTCCGGAAGATGTCCAAATGCTTGAGAAAAATCATAAAATTTTGATAAATTATGTCAATACAAGGAGAAAATAGGATAAAAAAGAAACATTTATTGATAAGATTTTTACATATAATGTTAAAATTGATATTTTGAATGAAAATAAGGATCCTAAGCTTAAATTTATTAAAGAATGTCAACATAGAGATGATTGGTCTAAATGAATAAAGCAATCCAGATAGAATTATGTTTTCTTACAAATGAGTAGTTTTTAAACTCATAGTCAAAACACCTAAAGATGTTAAGCTAATGCAATATAAATGATTATTTTTCCAAAACAAAATAAGAAAGGTGATATTATAAAATACAAAGTAAGACTTGTAGCATAAGAGTTTTCACAAGGACTTAACATTAACTATAAGAAGATATATTGTCCTATAATGGATGTAATTATATTTTGTTATCTTGTTGGCCTAGCAAAATATATGAAAAACTCCATACGCATGCATTTAATGGATGTGATCACAACTTATTTATTCAGTTAAAAATTATATCTATATGAAAGTCCTAGAAGGACTTTAGATGCCTAAAGCATGAAATATATATTCTCATGAAATGAATTCAATTAAATTATAGAGATCTCTATCAAAATTATTTTAGCATTTATTTTATTATTTTATTTTTTATAAATTCAATTTATGCTATAATATTTATATTTATATTTATTTTTCAATATCTACTCTTTATTACCAACTTGTGTGCATGTGGTATAATTACTTCAATAAATATTTATTGGAAGAAAGTTATAAAAATAACCCTATTTATTTATGTATTTTTATTTGAAAAGGGGTTTATTGTATATGTTGATAACTTAAATATTATTGAAACTTCGAAAAAGATTTCAATGTCATAAGTTATCTAAAAATAGAATTTGATATGAATACTTTGGGAAACAAAATTTTATCTTAACCTTTAGTTCAAGCACTTAGAGAATGATGTTTTTATTCACTAGTCAATTTATATAGAAACAGTTCTACAATTAATCTATATAAAGATCATCCATTAACTAGTCTAATGATAGTGCGTTCACTTGATATCTTAAAAAAAGATCATTTTTTGATCTCGAAAAGATAACAAAGAATTACTTGATCCTAAAATATCATGTATTAGTGTCACCGGTGTATTGATATATCTTGCTAATAATACTCGACTTGATATAGCTTTTTCTATAAATTTATTAACAAATTATAGTTCTACTCTAATACGTAAATATTGAAATGGAATTAAACATTTTTTATATTATCTCCGAGAAAAAATTGATATGGTATTTATTTTACTCAAATAAATTAAAATCGGGTTTAATTAGTTATGTAAATGCGAGTTTTTTATTTGATCACAACTAGATTATGTATTTACGTATGGAGATACAACTATATAATGACGTTCTATAAAATAAACTATAGCTGCTATATATTTAAATCATGCGGAAATACAAATGCATAAGGCAAGTTAAGATTATGTTTGGCTAAGATTAATGATCTATCATATCCAGAGACAAACCATTTATCTATCAGCAAAGAAGTTTCAAAAATATCATATGAAGATAATGTTGCTTGCATAATTTAATTAAAGAAAGACATACATCAAAGTGATAATTTGACATACTCATTCATAAAAACATTACCTATCATAGTTTTTGAGAAAATGATTCGGAAGAGAGGCGTGGTCTTAAAAATCTTAAATAATATTTTTAATATAGGCCAACATTGAGATTAATGTGTATAAGAAATATTGTACTTTTTTTCTTTAAAAGGATTTTTTCCACTAGGTTTTTCCTTAGTAAGGTTTTAACGAGGTATGTTCCTTGTAAAATAGATGTTCAAGAGGGAGTGTTATGAAATAATGAATGTCCATTTCATATTCTCATTATTTATATAATTCAATTCACTATTCAATATGAGAAATTGAAAATGTGATGTAATTTATTCAATTATTTATGGATCTTTTAATGATTTATAGTTCATTTCAATTCTCTTCCTAATCTTAAAGCCCATAAATAGGCTTGATTGTTCATTAGTTTATGTACAAGTATTTTGTAGAGATTGAGAGATTATTTGAAGTTGTCATCTCTTGTATTCCCTTTATCTTTTGGTGAATTCATTTTCGTATTATCTTTCTCTTCAATCTACTATTGTTAACATTTCTTTATAATAGATTTACTAATTTATATGTATTAATTGTTAAATAAAAATCTACAACCATATAAATAGAAAATTGAATCTCAAATTTTTTAAAAAAATTAACATTTGTCCATAAGATTGTATAAAAAAAATGAAATTACAATTAATATAAAAAAATGTTTAAAAATTAACAAGTAAAAAATAATTTATTATTCTTATTTAATGCTGAAGATAATATTATTTTTTGAAAACATATATATTTGATTATTTAAATCATAAAATAATCAACTATATAACATTAAAAACTATACTTGAATAATTTAATGGTTCTTTAAAATATTATTTTAATTATTTTATTTGAAAGAAACTAATTGTAAAATATTCAAAATAGTAAGTTTGAGGATTATATATATATATATATATATATATTTGTTTAGAAAACCCTAGCTGGTAGCTTTCGTAGCCATGTACAGCGTGATCTACCAGTAGAATCCTTGGCATCTACATTTCCCTCATGGGGGAAGCTGTCTGCCCATATCCTACTGTCCCTAACCCTATACCCATCACTGTCACCATGAATCCTATGCAAACCCAGCCATAAGATGCACTTCCCTAGTAACCAAATACACCCAAAGTTTTTTATTCAGCCGCAACAACATCAAACCTAATTCTAAAACATGTTTTTCCTCCTATTACCATCACGCCCAAACCACTGACTATGTATGAAAGGGAACTAGCTATCGAGTTCTCATCCATAGATCTGTAGCAATCAACCTTCATTTTCAAATACACACTCGTGGCTAAATGTTCAAGAAGCAGACCTTCCATTAACACCATCAGGACACATATACAACAACAATAAGGGCTGGCAGAGATCCCAATGGTGGGATTACTGGACTCGAGACACATTTTGATAAGGTTATTTAATAGGGATGATTTTGTTAAAGCGTGGTCACATGATGGTTACATCAGTGAGAACTCGCTATTCGGCTTATTCAAGTGGGATGCCACATTTTCTATAAGATTTGAATCACCAAGAGCAGCGATATGGCTAAGATTATCAGGACTTCCTTTGCCTTTCTTCCCTTCATCATTTCTCACGAAAATAGTTCGACCTTTTGGTACACTCTGTCCAGATACAAGAACAAAAAACGGCTCTTACCTATTTAAGGGTCTTTGTTAAAGTTGATTTAACAAAATCGATCCCCCCAACGGTGTGGATTTTAGTAGGCACAGATAAAACTAAAAGATTCTAACAAACCATTCAAGTGGAATCTAATATTACGTATTGTAATTCATGTCACCTACAGGGCCATGTAGTAGGTAATTATCGCAAACGTTCCATACATAATCAAGGCCCCCATCAGTATAGTGGCAATATCCATGAACATGGTGAAGCACATAAGGGACTCAGTGAGAATACATGGTAAATAATGAAGCACCAAAAGCATTCAACACAAGCAACAACATCTATAGGAGCAGTTACACCAACACCTAGAAAAACTTTACAAATAGTTCATTCTAGACCAAAGGTTTATTTGGCAGAAGGGAAAAGGAAAATATCAACACATGATATGCAATCACTTTACCACAATTGAATTTAGCTACTGAGGGGGAGGCTTCTGATTTTAGTCCCCACGATGATCGCGATCATTCTCTAGAAACACTTCATCATGAGGAGCTAAGGGTCAGTAATGAGGACATTAATGCACTGGCTGTGGTGGTTGTGAGTTATAAAGCTAATGTAGGGTATACAGACAAGACACAAGACCTGTTAATAGAGGGAAATAAGAAGCCTGAGGAAGCTAGCACTGGAAAGGCAAATCTAGGAAATGTTTCGACATTGGAGCAGTGTAATGAGGAAGTAAGGATTCCGCAGCAAGTTCATAACAATGGGACAGATGATGCATTAGTAGAGAATATCTCTCTAATATGGTAGAAGATTCTGCCAACAGTTAGCATGCCAGAGTTAACTTCACCCTTTGAGTTAGTCAATATGGTTTCTCTTAATCAGTTTAATTGCTTGAAGGGAATACAACAGGGCAGCATGGATGATGGGGGTATAATCACACTAGTAGAACCTGACCTCAGACCTAAAACAAATTCTAAAATAGGTATGGATAAACGCACCTAGGTTGAGAAAGAATATCTGAGTAGGCTTGAGAAGATTCGAGCTCAGGGATGCTCTTTGACAAATAAACAAAAAAAGCAATTGCTGAGAAGCCTGGTGCAAGGTAGTTCCAAGAGGGTCATTAGATCGACTGAAGATCATCATGGAGAGTCGTTCTTCTCCCTCCTCTATGAATAGCATCATCTAGAATATACGGGGCATTGGTTCCCTGAAAAAAAAAAAGAGATACCTGATGTGCCTAACACAACAGTAATAAGTTTTTCTTATGATTATTTTAGAGCCAAAACAATCAATCCAAAAGTTACATAAGCTAGCCAAGTCATTACTTTTCACTGGCCACGTACATAGGAGCCCCATAAACTCTAACATTTGGGTATTGTAGAAAAGAAACATTCAAGTGGATATTATGACAGTATGTTCATAATCTGTCACCATGGTTGTGAGGGATACTGTAGTGGGTGTAAAAACTATTATCACAGTGGTGTATGTGAGCTGTAACATGGTGGAAAGAAGAACTATGTGGAGCAATTTAGAGACCTTAAATATTAACCAGCCTTAGGTCATTGGCAGGAATTTCAACCCTATAACAGACGTATTAGAAAAAATTAAAGGTATATAATCGAACTTTAACTCAATTTTTGACTTATACAAAAACTCGAACTTTAGGATATTAGATGCATAGGTAGCAAATTCACATGGTGTAATAACCAACAAGGAGGAGCTCGTATATGGAAACGATTGGATAAAGTGCTAGTGAATACTGCTTTCCTTATGCAGGCTCCATGGTTAGTCTGCTCTCATCTTACTAGATTGCATTCTGACCATTGCCCACTACTCTCATCTTACTAGATTGCATTTTGACTTATACAAAAACTCAAACCATAGGATATTAGATGCATAGGTAGCAAATTCACATGGTGTAATAACCAACAAGGAGGAGCTCGTATATGGAAACGATTGGACAAGGTGCTAGTGAATACTGCTTTCCTTATGCAGGCTTCACGGTTAGTCCGCTCTCATCTTACTAGATTGCATTCTGACCATTGCCCACTATTACTTTCCATGGTAAACTATAGCCCTAAGCCAACAAGGTTTTCATTCAAGAGGATGTGGACAACTCATGTGGATTTCCTCTTTTTTCATCCAAAATCAGTGGAGAACATCCTTCAATCAAAAGCCTTTCCTCAACCTTCATCTAAAGCTGAAAGCCCTACGGGGTAAACTTAAAGCATGGAATTAGGATGTTTTTGGCAACATCAACAGGAGAATTAATAAGGAGCAATATAAGGTACTCAGATCAGAGTTAACTTTGTTAAATAGTTGGACTTAAATGAAGTTACCAAAATTGTCTACCGATAAAGAGTGTTTAGCTAAACTAATTGATTATGAAGAGTTACTACTTCAATAAAAAGCTAAAGTTAAATGGTCCGCTGCAGGTGACAGAAATTCAACATTTTTCCATGCAAGCTAAAGAAACCATGCCAATAAGTCTCAGTTAGGATTGACAATAAAGGATGGATCAATATGTACAGATGATGATAGACTGGGTAGAGAAGCTTTGGGGTACTTTTAAAAACTTTTCACAAGTGAAGCAGTCAACACGGATGACGTTCCTAGAAAGGATCCCCTCATTTAATTTCGGATTCTCAAAATAGTGAATTAATGTTTATCCCTTCCAAGGATGAGGTGAAAGCAGCGGTCTTTGAACTAGATAAGTTGAGCACTCCTGGATCTAATGGTTTCACTGGTGCCTTCTTCAAAACTTGTTGGGATATCGTTGGTGAGGATGTGGTTTTGTTAGTTCAAGAAGTTTTCAAAGGGGGAGTATTCTAAAAGGGGTCATTGCAATCAATCTAATTCTGATTCCCAAATGCTCTAACCTTGTTGGCTTTATGGATATAAGACCAATCAGCTTGTGTAATTGTTTATACAAAAGACTGTCTAGGGTGATCACTACAAGGCTTAATAGGGTACTTCCCACTCGATCTCCCAAGAACAAACAAGGTTTGTGAATAGAAGAGCTATACATGAAAATGTAGCCCTTGCTCGGGAACTATTCAATGATATTGATAGGAAAATTCATGGTGGAAATGTCATTTTAAAGGTTGATATAGAGAAGGCATACAATATAATGGAATGGAGTTTCATCATTAATGTTATGAGGATTTTTGGCTTTTTCAACAATTGGTGTAACATGATTTATAGATGCTTGAGTAACTGCTGGTATACATTGTGCTTTAATTCATATACATTTGGTTTCTTTAGATCTCAACGAAGGATGAGGCAAGGTGACCCCATTATCTTCAACTCTTTTCATCTTGGCATAAGATGCTTTTAGCCACCAACTATATGCATAAATAGATAAGGGGTTTGATTAAGCCTTATTACACTAGTAGTAGGACTCTAATCATCTCACATCTTTTTTATGTAGATGATATGCTCCTATTTTGAAATGAAGGAAAGAACACAATTGATAAAATTCTAACATTGTTGAACTTATATATTATAGCTAGTGGTCAAATTATTAATAAGAAGAAGAGTTGCATCTTATGTAGCAACAAGTCATCTTTTAATAGGAGAAATTGACTCTTTTCATGGTTAGGATTTTTGTTAGCAACAAAAGTGGTCAAATACACAGGGATGCTTCTTTTCAAATGAAGATGCCGCATCCAATATTTCAATTATATTGAAACAAAAATAAAAGATAAGCTAGCTGATTGGAAGGAAAAATTATAATCAACGAGTGAAAACTTAACACTCATTCAAAGTGTATCCTCCATTCCAACATATACCATAGGTGTGCTTCCAATACCAAAAACAACCATCAGCAAGCTCCAAAGCTACATGTCTAATTTCTTCTAGAATAATGAGGGAGAAGGTAGACATCATTAGGTTAGTTGGTGTGTAAAATGTCTCTTCCCATGAAAGAAGGTGATGCGGGTATCAAAAACCTTGAAGAAGTTATGAGGGCTATAAAAGGGAAACTTGCATGGGCTTATATCTCTAGCTCTTCACTCGTCGAGTTGTTTCATGCGAGGCCAAATATGGGAACCTTAATGAAGTTCCTCATCTAGATAGCAACAAAGGTTTTATGCTCGGAGATCCCTATTATCGCACATAAGGATCATTCGGACTGACTCAATATAGGCGGCTAGGGCTAGGAATTTGAGTTTATGGAAAGACAAATGGACTATAACTCCCATGAAAATCCTTAACCATATAGCTATATGTACTTGGAATATTTATATATGTATATACTAAGTATAGGTGTGCTTTATGTGCCATTTTAATATTTTGTGATATTAACATGCTTAGAGTTTATGTGAGGATTTAAGGGATGAACTTCGGGCAACCTAGCTAGTTATCATTTATTTCTTTTAACATATATTTAGAACATACCATGGAGTGAGAACAATTATATAAAGGTGTGGAGAGTGCCAAAATTTAGGGAATTGCCTAAAAAATAAATGAATGCTGAAATTTTGGGAAGAAAAATGTAACTCGTGAAAATTCTTAACCTTATAAATATATATCCCGAAATATCTATAAATATATATTGGATGTGGATGTAATTTATGTGAAATTTTTTAAATATTTTATGGTATTAAAATACCTAATGTTCATTTTCTCGTAACATGTATCTAAAAATGCCATGCAAGTGAAAGAATCACCTAAATATGATGATAATGCCGAATTATGGGAACCAAACTACCTTAGAAATTTGGTTAGTTTAGTTATCCATTTTTAGTTACTAATTGGACACCTAATCTTCTACATTGTTCTAATTAGTGACACCTAGCAAACTTGGACTTCAAACCTAGCCACCTTGCTTTCATTTTCTCTCTCATTTTATACCTTATAACCATAAAATTAAGACATATGTTATACTAATTAATGAGAAGAAAAAAGGTAGAGTATATAATTGTGAGAGAGAGAGTTAGACTTAGCCATTTTTTTAGGAAAAATCGTAGCTCACTAAAGAAAGAAAGGGAACGGAATTGAGAGGGGAAGAAAACAAAAAAGAAAGAAAGAAGAAAAGAAAAAGGGAAAAGCTAGGAAATATTTAGGAAAGCTTAGATCAAAGTAAGTAGGTTTTATGTTGCATTATGTTATGCCATAAATTTCATTTATATGTGCTTAAATTAGGTGGTGGTTTAAAGCTTTCTATTATGTTGTTATGGGTTATTCATGTTAGTAGTTTGCGTTTGTTGGCTTGATGTGAAATTAATGATTGGATTGTATATGTGATGATGAATGATTGGTCCGTGTATGTATCCATGTGTTGTGTATGCTTAAATATGTGTTGATGGGTTTGGTTAAAATAAATAAGCTTGGACTAAAGTTTGGATGGATTCAACCATGGTGGACATGGACTTCGAAGAATTAACTTAGCAAAAAAGACGAAAGAATTCTTAGAGTATCCTTAAGGAAATCATTCAGCCTATGTGCTAAAACGATCAAAGTTTGAATTTTTTTTTATGTAACTAAAGATCTAGAACTCAATAGAAACTCAATTAAGTATAGATTAGTAAGTTAGGATGAAAATAAATGATATAGAAACAAAGGAAAATCTCTTGCCACTTTTAGAACCTATTCGACCTAAACCCACAAATTTGAGGGTTTGGATTCCAATCATCCAACTCCATAATTAATGCTCTAATTACACCCGAATAAGTATAAAATAAAGTGTTAGAAGGTAAGATTTTAAGAAAAATTGAAATGAGGACCTAAACCTATTAGAAGCTAAATTCGGCTATTAAGGCTAAATGTCGAGTTAGGAATGAAATCCCACTTCAAATGCGTTCAAA